GCAAGCGCTCTACCACTGAGCCACCTTCCCAGCCCCAAGGAGTTTCTTTTCTTTTCCCATGATTCCTATCTTTTATTCAATCTCTGTCAATAAATTTGGTTTTATTTAATACTTTAAAAATTATCTTGAAATAGTTGTACATAGGGGGTTTCAATTTAACATGTCAATTTATATAAACAGTGCATCTTGACAGTGTCAACCCTTTTGGTCAATCAGTCTTGACTCTCTTACCACCAAAATATATCCTGAATGTTAAGTTTTTTTTCTATCTATCTTCAGGACTACTCCCTGATCCAAATAATTACCATCAGTTGCCTGCACTACAGTATTTCACTGCTTTTTCTACTTCCATCCCTGGCACACACAGCCAGGGATATCTCTCACAAATAGTAATGTGTTACTTCTGGGCTCCAGAAATTTCAAGCAGGTTGAGTGCTGATGGCTCAAGCCTAAATCCTAGTTACTCAGGAGGCTGAGATCTGAGGATCTCGGTTCATAGCCAGCCCAGGCAGGAAAGTCTGTGAGACTCTTATCTCCAATTAAACACCAGAAAACCAGAAGTGGTGCCATGGCTCAAGTGGTAGAGTACTTGCCTTGAGCTGAAGAGCTCTCAGAAATAGCACTCAGGCCCAGAGTTCAAGCCCCAAGATTGACCTCTTATACCATATCCTCTTTCATCCAGTTTTACAAGCTTTCTTTCAGCTCTTCGGGCTAGTTCTCCAACCTAGAGCTCTGCATCATTCCTTCTACCTTTGGTGCTGCCTCTGTCATCTCATCTACTCATTCCTTTGCTGGTTTATGTACTATCTTCTTGGCTAGTTTTCCTTGATAAACTCAAACTACATTAAATCACCAGCCACATGACAGTATTACTATCTGATTTTTCATCTTCCATTTTATTTTACCTGATATTTCTTCATTTATTTTATTTTTTGTGCTAGTACTTGGTTTTGAACTCAGGGTTACACACTCTCACTTGGCTTTTATGTTCAAGGCTGGTACTCTACTTGAGCCATATCTCCACTTTCAGTGTTTTGATTGTTGACTGGAGATAAGAATCTCACAGACTTTTCTGCATAGCCTGGTTTTGAACATCAATAGTCAAATCTTACCTCCTGAGGAGCTAGCATAAGCCACTGATGGCCTGCTAAATTTAAAAATATTAAGTTTTAAAAATGCTCTCTCTTGAGCCAGGCATCAGGCAGGAAAGCCTGTCCAGGCAGGAAAGGCCATGAATCCCCAATTAATCACAAAAAAACCTCCAACTACAACAAACTAATGGAAGTGGAGCTGTGGTACAAGTGGTAGAGCACTAGCCTTGAGCAAAAAAGCTCAGGGGCAGTGTCCATGTTCTGAGCTCAAGCTCCAGGACCAGCATCACCTCCCCTCCCCTCCCCCGCCAAAAAGAAGTTCTCTTTTACTCTTCAAGAGAATATAAGCTCAATTAGAATAGGGACTTGGGGGCTGGGAATGTAGCTTAGTGGTAGAGTGCTTGCCTAACAGGCATGAAGCCCTAGGTTTGATTCCTCAGTACCACATAAATGGAAAAAGCTAGAAGTGGCACTGTGGCTCAAGTGGTAGAGTGCTAGCCTTGAGTAAAAAAAGCTCAGGGATGGGCTGGGAAGGTGGCTCAGTGGTAGAGCGCTTGCCTTGCATGCATGAGGCCCTGGGTTTGATTCCTTACCACCACATAAGCAAAAAAAAAAAAAAAATGCCGGAAGTGGCACTATGGCTCAAGTGGTAGAGTACTAGCCTTGAGCTGAAGAGCTGAGGGACAGCACCCAGGCCCAGAGTTCAGGCCCACGACCAGACCCCCCCAAAAAAAGCTCAGGGACAGTGCTCAGCCCTGAGTTCAAGCCCCAGGACTGACAAAGGAAAAAAAAGAAATAGGTACTTGGTCTGTCTTGTCCGCTACTGAATATATAACACTTTGAACAGTGCCTGGCACAGTAGATACTAAAAAAAAAAATTATTGAGTGAAGATTAGAACCACCTTGAGAAGCACTTAAATTAACATCATTATTGTAAATGAATATCATATTTTAGCTCACATTTTCCAGGAGCCAAATAATAATGTGCCCAGGAGAAATATTAAAATATTATTCTGCCTGGTAAAACACAGCTTAATACACATGTTCATGGTACCTACTAAAAAATATGATCCTTTTTTTCCTTAGGATGACAGAATGAATGTACATTTGTCTTCCACATGGAAATGATAATTATTAATTAGAAAAGATCATTTTTTTCTTTAAAATACCTCAGCTTATTTTCCTTGCAGATTTGTCCTTTGTACTTACTTGGTAAAATCTTTCTGGCAGGTCAGAAGTTCCAACAGGAAAAGAACATATGGTGGATGAAAGCAGTGAGGCTGTCCTAGGGATTCTGTACAGTACTGAATTACCCTCAGGGCTTCCAGGATGCTCTTGGCTTGGGCTTTCTTTAAGGAAAGAACCTTTACAACACTGGAGACAGAACTCAAGTCAGACTATGCAGGAAACTGAATTAGGGTAGGAACAAAAAACAAAAAAAAAACACCTATCCTCCTCCCAAGTGCTGAAGCTTTATGAATGAAAAGAAAGTACTGCTGTTGGTTTTAAACACATCATGCAAAGAAGAATATTATACTACCTACTACTTTTACTTAGCAAGCATTAAGAATCAGTTGCACACAAATTGTGTGAAGGCACAACTTATTTTGAAAAACTAATTCTGAAAAACTTTGATACATTTACTTGGCTATCAAGAGATAAAGCTTTAATTCATAAGATTAGGAAATTCCTCACTAACTTTCAGGGAGGTAGGTAGGCCCATGGACTGTCAGAAAAGATCAAAACCTGAATTTTTCCCAGGGCTAACAATTTTTTAAGTGGCAGCTACCAAAGGAAATGCGTCCTTAAAAAAACAAGAACAAAATACAACATTACTGAGATACATTTTACATGCAGTTAATACACAAATCTTAAGTGGAAAACACTTCTTTAAGGGAAAACTTGAATATTATAAAACAAGTTTGGTTCTATCCTAAATATCACTTGTCCACTGTTAACATGAACTTGAAACCTTTGCCTAAACTGGATAGCTCTGATTTGAAAAGAGAAAGTATAGGGAGAAAACGACTGGCTCACCTGTCATATGAGAGTGATTGATCTTTAATGAAGTCCATGGCATCCTTCAACACTGGATATTTCTCTTTTACTGTAGGCAGTGGTCTGGCTTCTTCCATGGATCTGAAAGAGAGTAGCCGGAGTCGCCCTCGGGTGAAGGGTGGCCGCCGGGTAGGTGTGGAAGGTGAGGAGGGCTCCTCAGCAGTGGGCACTTCTGCAGAGGGAGGCCCACTACTTGGTGGCAGCTTTGATGGGACCTCCCAGTCAGGACTGTTGTCTCCGGCAGTTGAGGGGCCTGCTTCTGTGGGAGATGCTGAGGCTTGGAAATGCTCTTCTACCACAGAGCTTGTCCTCTGGTGCCTGTCTAGTGGCTGGAGATGATCGGTTTCATTGACAGTCACCAACTTGTCAAAGGTTTCTTCTGAACTTTTGTCCATGGGCAAAAATTTTAGTAACAGAAGACTTTTCTGAATACATTCTTTTGCTAAGTGCAAAAAAATAAAATGATAGAGAGATAAAGGAAAAATTAAACTTAGTAATTACTTTCAGAGAGAAAAATAATCTATTTACACTTCATCCTCATGAATTCTGCATCTACTGATAGAATACAATCAAACTGTACATGAATCAAGATCATGCCAATACTTTTTTAAAAGCTTTATTATAGTGAACACCCCAAATTAATATAATAAATGTATATAATAATATATAATTTCAAATATAATGACTATTCCATATACCCACTGTCTCAATAATTATCAACTCACAAATAATCTTGTTTCTCCCACTCCCAAGGTCTGATGATTTCCATGCAAATGCCAAGCATTACACTTTTTTACCTGTAAAAGTTCCAGCCTAGCTCTCTACAAAAATAGGTTTTCAAAGGTATTTTTAAAAATTAATAGCAATTCTTTCATAATTCTTTGAGCTGCACACATGAATCTGAAGCCTCTTAAAAGAAGCAATTAGAGGGGCTGGGAAGGTGGCTCAGTGGTAGAGCGCTTGCCTTGCATGCCTGAGGCCCTGGGTTCGATTCCTCAGCACCACATAAGCAAAAAGAAAAA